CCTGGAGCCCGGCGTCCAGCTCGGGGTCCTCAGCACGGGAAGGACATGGAGCTGTTGGAGCGGGGCCAGAGGAGGCCACGAAGATGCTCAGAGGCTGGAGCACCTCTGCTGTGAGGACAGGCTGAGAGCTGGGGGGGTTCAGCCTGGAGAGGAGGCGGCTGCGGGCAGAGCTGATTGCGGCCTTGCCGTGCTTAAAGGGGGCTTAGAAGAAAGATGGGGACAGACTTTTTAGTAGGGCCTGCTATGACAGGACGAGGGGTGATGGTTTTAAACTGAAGGAGAGGAGATTTAGACTAAACACGAGGAAAAACCTTTTTCACAATGAGGGTGGTGAAACACTGGCAGGGGGTGCCCAGAGAGGTGGGGGATGGCCCATCCCTGGAAACATCCAAGGCCAGGCTGGACGGGGCTCCGAGCAACCTGATCTGGTTGGAGATGTCCCTGCTCATTGCAGGGGGATGGACCGGATGGCCTGGAAAGGTCCCTTCCATCCCAAGGCATTCTGTGATTCTATGATACCAGTGCTCCCATGCGCCACGGCCTTTAGGCAAATTAGCCGAATCACAGCCGAGTGCCTCGTCTCTCCGGTGGCCCAACATCTTCCCAGCATCAGGGGGGAGGTGACAGCACCACCCTGCACAGGGATTTGGTTCGGGCAGGACTCAAACCTGCTCCAGCTGCGTCTGTACGCTCAGAAGTGGGAATAGCACCCAAAGGCTCCTGCCAGGGAAGGCTCCTCACCCACGGGCCAGGGACAGACACCCCTTCTCCGGGGGAAGGAGCACGCTAAGGGCAGCGCGGCACTCGGGTACGTGGGGAAGCGGGAAGCAAGGCAGAGGACCTCCCTCCCACTGCCCCCACAACTTGGGGAAACAGAGGCAAGGGCAACGTAAGCCCAGAGCGAGAGCGCTTGTGGCAGAGCTGGGAACAGACCCCAGCTGTCGGCAAGGCGCGCTGGCCACCAGCCCCTCCTCGCCAGTCCTGCGCAGGACCTTGAGCTCATGGCAGTGATGGGCTCCAGCCTGGAGCTGCACTCAGAAGGAAGAGCCTTGCCAGGGAAGGAGGGACCTTCCCCTCTCCAAAGCAGCAACTCCCAGCCACCAAACCCCTGAAGATCAGAGACCCCCACCCCCAGATGCACACATCCCCATTTATTACTCCTTGCCAGCTCCTCTCAGCAGAGACCCCCTCGGCCCAAGAGAACCCCAACCCCTTGCATGGCTGCAAGCCCAGCAAACCACATGTGCACAAGCCCCCGCTCCCCAGGCCAGGCATCGGAGCACGTTACGTCCCCCGAGGCCAGCGCCAGGCTGTAATGGACACTGCTCAGGCTGCCGGTCAGCCCCGCTGGGCTCGGGGAGCAGGGTGACACCAGGGTGCGAGGGGTGGAAGCGCAGAGGTGACAGTCACAGCCTCGGCAGCAGCTCTGACACTGGCGAGACGAGCTCTGGCCGATCACTCATCCTGCAGGCTGGGTCCTGGCTCTCTTCCCAGGAAAATTTAGCTTGAGCTTGTGGGCAACATGCCCAGGCAGCTCCTCTATCCCACTTGGGAGCAGTGCAGATCCCTTCATCCAGGCAATCTGATCCAAGCCTCTCCACTCAGGGACGGAGAGAGGGGAGCAGATCCCTGCATCCTGGGCTGCCTGGCTAAATTCAATGCTGATTTCTCTGCATTACTGGCAAAAAGTCTCTCAGGAGCTAGGAGGATCAGCGTGCTTGAGCCCCGATCTGCAGAGAACATCTGGCAGGGGACAGAGCCCGGCACCACCGCGCGCCAGCGCAGAGCGTACCTGACCTTCGCTGGCATGCTTGAAAGGCCCAGAGACCCACCTGCTCCTACACCTACACGTTTGCCTTTCTCTGCCCAGGTTTTTGCCCACGGGGAAGGCACCCGTGCAGCCCAGCGCTGGCTCTGTGGGCTGACCCTGCCCCGGGGGAAGGCAGGGGAACACGTGCCTCCTCCCTGTCTGGCACGATTCGGGACAGAAAGCACCTCAGAAGCAATGGCAGGACCTCCACGTACAGCAACAGAGCTTTGTATCCAAAATACCAGGGTCTGCCCAACGCCCCACGGCTCACACGTGCAGGGTGGGCAGGAGGGAGCCACAGCCCAAAGAGAACTGGCGTCAGCGGTGGGGGACTCCTGCAACCCTGGGCCCCTTCGCTGGAGCCCACGACCGGGCTGTCCCCTTACCATGCTGAAGTCCACGCCATTGGTGATGGTGTGTCTCCGGTGTTCTGCACGTCCCCTCTGATGCCTCCGAGTGTCCCCAGCCCCTGGATGGCTGCCATCTGCCTGGGACTGACCAGCAGCCTTAGCATCACCACCTGCAACAGAGAAAAGCATGAGGCCACCAGCCGCTTGCAACAAAAACCTCCCCACGGCCACTTCGATGGGACTGCCTGCAGGGTGGTCTGGCAAACGGACATGGCAGGGAGCAGCTGAGCCAAGCACCGGCCCGAGCCCCTGCTCGCATCTTCGTATGGGCAGGGCAGGCTTCAGCAACGACTGACTTGGCTGCGCCAGGCTGGCAACAGACCTCAGTGGTCATCTTCTGCAAAAAGCAGGCAGCTTCCAGGCAATGCTGTTTCAGTCCCGGCACAGGCAATTAAACCGTTGGTGATACTGCCTACCCTCGGCCTGTCCTCACGGCACCCCTGGCTCCCGCTTAGGGGGCACAGGCTCTGCCAGGAACCCGACTCCTCCTGAAGGCAGCTCCTGCTTGGTGATGGGCTTGGCCGTGCAGGTGTCCCCTCCAAGACCCCGTGCCTGTGGTCTAAGCATAGAGTAAATCAGGCTGTAGGTTTCCCAAAATGTTATTAAAATCCCAACATCCTATCTTGCAAAAGACTGATCTACGACAAACGCATGACGCTGGTGTAAATCCATGTGTAACCTATTTTTGCAGATTAAGTTCATACTGGCAGGTTTTAGGCTGGATCAGGCACCTCCTGCCTGTGTGCCGAAGCAGGTATTGGCTGGGCACCTGCGGTAGAGTCGGTACAAGCCCCGCACCGCCCGCCCTGGCGAACTCGCCAGAAACGCAGCCCTGCGGCCACGGCCAAGCCAGCTCAGATCCCCGCTTCTGGCCGAGCTGGCAGAGTACCGCCCTGCCGCCCTGAGCCGCGGCGCTGGGCAGCCGAGGGTGCAGCCAGCACCCTCCCCAGCCGTGCCCGGGCAGCAAGCCTGCTGCACCTCCCCGGTCCGCTGTCGAGTCCCCAGCAGACCCTGCCTTGTGCCCACCCCCTCGCTCTGGCAGCTCACCCCGCTCTCTGCACACAGCCTTCCTCGAGAGTTTCTTTCCCAACCTGGCTTTCAAACCAGAGCAGCACGGAGGTAGGCAAGCGAAGGCAGGCAGTGAGGCAGATGGGAAAAACGTCTCCTCCTCGGGACTGCTCCTCACCCATCTCCCAGGCACCCCCACCCATCGCCACATCCTTCTCCCACGGCTGGGCACGCACCGGCTCCCAGGCACCAGCACTGCCTGGAGCAGGTCTAGCACGTTCCCCGCCGTGCGGGCATGAAGGGCTGCGAGCGCCGGGACGGGGCGCGTAGCATTGCCTGGGCTGGCACATCGCTGCCCACTGCTCCACAAGCCTCCTCAGCCGAGCACAGGGACACGATGGAAGAGGGAGACGGGGCAGGAGAGGGCAGCCGTGGCCGCAGGAGCCACCCTTCACCTTGAAGGCAAGGAGGTCGGGGAGAGTTGCACCATATTGGGGCTGCCTGCACTGCCACGTTTGCGCCCGTTCAGCAGCAGGAGCTGGGCTCGGGCTCAGGGGGCAGCAGGCAGCGCTGCACAAGCGCCTCGCTCAGCCTGTCACTTCGTGTCCCTGGGGAAAGAAGCCACCGCGGCACAGGAAAAATGCTCTTCCTGGTCCATCATGGCATCCCGCTTCTCCTACCAGCAAGTGCACCAGTGTAGACAGGTCTCCAGCACATCAATAAACACAGTTTATAAAACAAAGTTATAAACTTTGATATCGCCCATTCATTTGTTTTGCCAACTGGCTTTGGTTTCACACCCCCATATCTACCGGGAGGAACCCAGCAAGACCGGTGCAACCACGCACATGTTCTCCTAGCAGACCTGCAGCACGTCCTGCCTGGGAAGCCGCGGAGCAGCCCCGAGCCCAAGGGGGCTTCAACAGGCAGAATCCCAAAGCAAAGCCAGAAGCACCTCGGGGAAGAGCTGCAGGGTAGAAACATGTTAAAAAGGCTTTTGCTGCTGGTACTTGGAAGCGCCAGGCTGAGCTGAGCTGAACCCGTGATAAGAAGGCGCTCCCTGGTCAAACAGCTGAGCTCTGTGTGCCTGAGCTGACAACGTAGCGGCTAAAACAGGATCCCTGCTAGTGAGCTGGGATCAGATCTTCTTGGGCAAAGAGCAGGACCAGCTCACCGGGGGGGAGGAGATCCTGCCGTGAGATGTGCGATGGCCTCCTCCCGCCCAGAGCCTCTCTGCTCCTGCAGGGCACGAGCCCAGCGTTTGCCAGCCAGAGCAAGTGCCCAGGACCGAGCAGACACCTCGGGGCCGGAGCAGACACCTCATGGCCGTTTTACACATTTTCATACCTGTCCTCGGCCACGGCCCAGGCAATAACAGCTACCGAGAAAGCACCCCTCCCTCCTGAAAGCACCCCTCCCTCCCGCCAGGGCCCCCAGCTCTCCAGGCAGCCGGTAGAGCCAGGCCACCCCAGTGGCAAAGGCAAGCGCTGCGCCGGGGAGGAGGCAGTGCCCAGGGCCACCCCAGACCTCCCACGTGTGTTAACTTCCCCAGGCCTCAGCTCTCAGGGGAACCACAAGGGTAAAGACCCCCAACACCGAGATGCTCGGACGCTGCTGTGACGGGCCACCTAGGCACCACTGGTAGTGAAGCCATCACGGTGACATCTCCAATCTCAGCCTCACCGTCCTTGTGCCCAGCAGGTGCTGTTGGCTCCCCAGAGACCGTGGCTGGCACCCAGCAGCGGCTCGCGGGCTGCTCCAGCACCGCCGGGCTGACGAGAGCTTCTGAGAAGCTGGGAGCTGGCTCTGAGCAGGGACTTCTTCCCTTCTGCCCATAGGCTAACGGAGGTTAGCGGGGAAGAGGGGACAGAATCGCCGTCCCGCTGGCTCACTGCGCCCCTGGACGTGCCAGGAGGACGACCTGGCCCCAGCCTCTGCCATCTTGCCATGGTTTGCATCCAAATCACCTCTGGCGCACGCAGGGGTCCCCTGGAGCAGAGAGCAGCGCTCGGGTGGCATCCTGTGAGCACCTCCTTCCCCCAGGGCGCAGACGGGGAGAGCTTCCGCAGGCTCTTTGCAGCTGATGAGCGCTGATACACCACCTCGCTGCACGTGGCTGGGTTCTCACAGAAGCTGCCTGGTGCAGCTGGAGGCTCAGAGCAGCCTCAAGCCTGAACGATACAATCTTAACGGAGACAGGGCTTCCCGGACCCACGGGCAGCTCTCAGCACCCAGCACATTTCTCCGCAGCGAGAAACGGCCGGGTCCTGCCACGGCAGTGCCCAACTCCCTCGCAGCAGTTGATGAGAGCATCTATGTTCAACCACGCCCTGGGAAACCCTCCGCGGTGGAAGGGAGCGCTGGGCAGCGGGGCAGGATCTGGAGCTAAAAGAGACAGAATAACTCTGAGTTATGATGTTCGCTAAGCCGCTGAATCAACCTGAAATTCAGGCCTGTTGCCAGCACACAGCCCTGCACTGCGGGAAGCTGGCAGCAAGGGCTGAGGCACTAACCCTGCCCACAGGCTCAGGGCATCAGCACGACATCAGCCTATGACGGAAAGATCCTCAGCAGCCAGAAAGCTGCTGTAGTCGTCTGCTCACTCCTTCCCAGGGCAGAGCTTCCAATTTGCTCTTTATTTACCAAGCAGGATTTTTTTTTCAGGTTTTTCCTGATTTACACTCTTGATGATAGAAGAGCCAGCCTGCTTAATAATATTCCCCTAGATGAAACTCCAGCGATTAGTCTGGAGGCAAAATGGAAAGCAGAGAACCTCAGCCACGGTTAAAGTTTCTTCTCCACCCAAGAGAAGACGGGACGGGGAGGGAGCGGGTGGGAAGGGAAGGCAAACCAGCCCAGACAGCTTTCCCGAGGTAGAGGAAGCCATCGCACCCCAGTGTTGCAATAACAAACACCCGCTCCTCACACAGACCTTTGTGTCCCCAGATCTCAAAGTGCCTCACAAACCCAGATAAAGAATTATTACCTACACCAGACAAGTCCAGAAGCCTGGTTTCCTTCTGACGTCTCCTACCGACTAGCAGCAAATGAAGATGCCAGCGAAGAGTCTCCCCCTCGCCAAGGTCGGCGTGCCAGCCGCGGGCGGGGGGCCCTGGCAGACCCAGCACGGGGACCCCGGCCCCGAGGAAGGGGCAGAGTCCGCAGGGACCTGCCGGGAGCTCTGCGGGGGAGCCCCGGCCTCCCCACCCGGACAGCGCCCGGGGGCCGCCAAGCACATCTCCCTGGGGCCGCTTCCCTGCTTAATTATTGCTTCATTATTTATTATTGTAAACAGTGCTGCCGAATTATCCAAACAAAAAAGTTGGATCAGGTTTTGCTGGTTTTTTTGTCCAAAACACGGACGGAATCATGAACCAAGCCTTTCTGAGGGCCCCCGAGCGCTGGGCTGCCCCGCGACCGCAGCTTTTGCTCCGGTGAAGCCGCTCGGCTCTCGGAGAGCCCCGGGCCCAGCGACTCCCCGCGACGCCCAGCCGCATCCCCCCCGGGAGGGTCACGTTGCGCCAGGGGACAACCACGGACACGGTCCGGTAAAGCCCTTAATTCTTCTCGTCACCGCTATGAACGGACAAGCACCCACGCGAGGGGAGACGCGAAGGGAAGCGCAAACGGGAGCCGGAGAGCGGAGCAGCGCGCTCGCCGCCCCGCTTCACCCGCGCCTCGGACCGAAGCCCACCAAAGCCGGAGTTACAACCAGCACTAACGCCGGCGGGGTTTACACCCGGCCCGCTGCTTTTACACCTTGCTGCGGAGGGCCCAGGGCTGCGCTGCCCCAGGGCCGGAGCGGCCCTGCCTAACTCCGGTCTCTGGTGCTGCCCGCACCGGGGGGCGGCCCGCACC